TTTTATTAGTGGCTGTATCATTTGGCGATGTTGGTAAAGCATCCTTTATTGAAAAATAGACCAACAAAAATATGTGTTTTCGAGCTGGAATTTGGTGGTAATGTGCGAATTGCAATCCAAATTTGACCATTTTTTACTTTGATAGTTTTTCAGAAACATCGTACACAGTGAGTTTTTGGGAAAATCAGAGGTCGCTGTATCATTTGGCGACGCACTGTATGATTTGTTAACTTTGAGGCTGTCAGGCTCCTGGTAGCGCAGTCTACAGGGTTATCTTCTGTATTCATGTAGTGGAACATGAATTGAATTGTCGAGTCAACTAGCACTTGCATTGCATCCTTTATGAGCTTGAACCTGTTTTTGATGAAGGTTTCTAGTTGCCTATTGGAGTGTATGCAGTACAATGCTATTTGTGAGTCCGATAGAAATTGCACTGACTCAAGTGTAATCTTGAGCTGACTTCGAAGGAACCGAACTAATTTTGCCGCAAAGCTAGTCCAAGAAGTTCTAATTTTGAAATGAACGTCTTCTTCGCTGCCGCCAACTTCGCTTTGGCGGAGATCAGGTTGCTGAAGTGCTTCCTTTTTGTTGGTCGACATACCAAGTAAGCAACAGCGACATAGACCCTTTGCGATGCATCGGAAAAGATAAAGAAGTCGTATGTAGCTCTTTGCGTTACAATAATGGATCTCGGTATATTCCTCGAAAAACCTCTGATATCTTTTGTGATACCCTTCCATTTTTGTAGAGCACCTTCGTCGAACGGGTCGTCCCATGTATACTTCTTCAGCCATAGTCTTGTATGAACATTTTTGCTTTGATGAATAGTGAAATAAGAAGACCTAATGGATCAAAGGTGGATGCAAATGCCTTCAAGGCACGTTTCGTAAAAACCTCTTTTGTGATTCGTGATTGACTGTGACTTTTGTGATTGACTTGATGGGTACGCTTAATGTGTCCTTCTGCGTATTCCATCTCAATCAGAGCAGTTTCACTGCATTAGACGTCGGCTTCATTCTGTCAGTTCAGTGGAGTAAACTCTAACACGAGTTCACCATTTGACGTGAATTCGCGAAGGCCCATGCCCATTTTCAAGAATACATTCTTGCAGTGGGTTCACTTTCGAAGACCTTCGTCGACCGTTTTGGCACCTATCAAAACATTGGCAATGTGGGTGCCTGCGATGATCTCTTCCTAAAGCTGGTTTCTACCTTCTCTCTCTAGTGCATACTTCAAGGACTTGCTTAATAAAAATGGAGATGCGTTCACGCTAAATGGAATACGTGTGAACCAAAGGATATGTATGTTGTTTCTTGACGTCTCTCTTATCTTTTTGTAATCTTACTTGATGAAATGCTTTCTGCCCGTCCGCTATTATAAGTATCGGTGTTAGCCGTGCTCGTAATAGCGTGCCACAGAGATCTGGCAATAGAGTCGGTCCTTGGTGCACACAGTCGTTTAAACTGGGTACACCTCTCATGTGACTCCACGCGTCGAATACGATGTGCAATTTTGTGGTTGCACTGTCTTCCTTGTATACCGCTTGATGTGATGTAATACACCCAATTTCCATGGGCTGACGACTCGTTGACTTCTTCTATTATCCGCGACTGAAGTGGCTGATCGAAGGTCTTGCAGTACTCCTCCCATACTTTTGTATTATGGCGGAGCTTTTCGGATTGATTCTCTAGCCTCCGTATTGCTAGAGCTTTGCTATCAGCAAGGGAGGATGATCTGTCTTTCACGGAAATTGAGCGTTTATGGGGCCATCTTTTATTTGTCTTGTGTTATAGTAGTGTTGTATTATACTTGCATTGGATTCATCTGCTTCCTCCCTCATCGCGAGGGGTTCTAAACCGAGTTCCACTTATTGAGTTAATGAACACTTGTTTGGCACACAATCTATTGACTCGAAAGGTTCCTACCTCTGACTCATTTGACTCGTCAGAGGAGCTGTCTACTTCACGCTTTGCTTCTTCTGCCTTGTTACGACCAGACTCTGAAGAAGTAGACAGGCAGGTGGAGGTGTTCGTTCCTGCCAAAACCCTGAAACTAACTTTCGGATGAGGTGGACCTCTGCGTTGTAAGCTTGGTTTCCTCGTAGGTGAAATTCCTCTTGATGGTAAGTTCGAGAATTGAGACCCTGACCCTGTGTTACTATGTGTACTAGCCTCTGAAAAATAACTGTTCCTTGAACTATCTCTGTTACAGTACCTTGTCTTGCGACCGTCAGCTCTTGTTGGACTACTAGAAGAGCTCCTTTGAAAGCAAACAGACCTGTGGTGGTTTCTATCGCACCTGCTACACTTAGAGGCGCTGCAGTATTTACTTTTGTGTGCCATTTTGAGACACTGCCAGCATAGCCGTTGTTGTACTATTATACAAATGCTCTTCTTTCGTAAAGGGATGTCACTACGTTGCACTCGGCAGCGGTGTGATCGGTGTGGAAACTGAAACTGCATCGCACTTCGGTTTGACGAGTCCTCCTCTCCCTACTTCGAGCTCTACGTAGGTGATGCCTCGTTGTTGGGCTGATACTGCTTCCCCTTTGCGTCTCGCGTCTTGCATCCTTTTTCAGGTTTCGTTGATTTTGTTTATTGCTTGTGGTGTACGATCTCGTCTCAAGGGTAGGAGTTGGGTCGGTGTCTTCGACGATTTCCAATTGGTCGATGAAATCGTTGAATACCTCGATTAGATTCTCCGTCATCCAGTCGTCACCCCTTGACCGTTTCTCTCCTACCTTTTCCCTTTACTTTCTCGGGAACTTGGATCTGATGGTCTTGCAGCCAATTCGTTCTTTCAAAGTGGCTAGCTGACTCCATATCGCTTTAACTTTGCATAATGTAACACGTTGTTCTTTGACAGGCTTTCCAGCTGGGGATAGTCCCTCCAACTGTTCTACAAGCCTATTTCGCGAATCATCTGGTTTGTTATATGTACTAAGCAGAAGATTAATAGCCTGGGGATAGTTTTCTGTTGACATAGTAATTGAGGCAATGATGTCGTGGGCCGTACCTTCTAGTTTGTTTTTCAGGTATGCAAATTTTGCCGTGGGTGCAATCGCTGCATTATTGTGTACTGCCAGCTGGTATAATCCCCAGAATTCTGGGAATTTCACCATATCGCCCTCAAAGTCTGGTAATTCCAACTCTGGAAACTGTACTTTGATCTGCATGGTAAACAATCCTTCCATCTTGTTCTGACTTTTCCTCTTTGTATGATTTTCCATCTTCGTCCTCAAGTACTCGGAAACTTCAGCGAGGATCTGGGCATCGACCATAGCGTTTTCTGCTCCAATTGCCCCCCAATGATATGTGAAATCTTGGATCAGTCGATAGCGGTCGTCTTCTTTTTGTATCTTATTGGAGTAATCCACGCTTTGCTACCAAGTTGCTTTCAATTTGTTCGTCCAGTGTGTTATATGTACTATTCCTTGCAGTAGTTTCTTATTATGATACGTTATATTCTCGCTATCACCAAATTCGCCAGTTTCGGTGATCCCAAGCGTCGTTTCTTCGAGATCCGTCAATTTTCCCGCTGAAGAATTGACGACCTTCGTCATCCGCTTTCGATATAGCCGGTAGCAGACATCGCAGCAGTTGGCGTGACATTTCAGCCACTAAGACTTCCAAACTGAGAACAAGTTTGTGAGCACGCCTTTACAAATCTACCATCCGGTACCTCACCGCCGGCTCTCTTGGCAGCACCGGCTGGAGGCTCTTCGTTCGCCTCCACTCTCCATGTGAGCTCCTCGATCCTACTGTCCCATCTGTCCACGTCTTCTGTATTACTGCGCTCTGGTCCACATCCGTCTGTTGGCTAGAGAGCCGTCCCAGTGCACTCGATCCCTTGATATTGCATTACATCTCGTATGAACTTGTATAAATTGTCCCCATAACATCCAATGTTCTGATCTGAGAGCAGTGGCAGTGGGATATCTTTACCGGTCATCGATTGATGCTCTAACAGGTTCGTTTTGCCATCGCCTATGCACCATGTTGCGAATTAATTAGGCTTGGATCAATTAGGTGAAGAACAGATAGTCTAGGCGGTCACCATTACATGAAATAACAACGACCGAACTGATCGCTTTACTTATCACTGTTTTACCCTTCCACCCTCAAATTATTTATTAAGATTCAAAAGGGTTAGTAACGAAATTAACTACTCACGTCGGGTCACTTCCTCCGAGCCACCGCTCGACCAGCTCCGTCTAGGAATAGTGTAGTATACAGGATAGTCGTTGTGATAGAGCTTCAGACACCATCATTGGAATAGCGAGGTTCTAAGGGCTCTAGCCTCGCGGGCCTGCTGCCAGCACGACGATACAGGTCGATCGAAGGAGTCTACTGACTTGCGAACATTGTGCTCCGGGTAGCCGTGAGTGCAGCGTGCGTTCCCGTACGATCACGGGTAGAGCACGCGGGGTCAGGCGACAGTTGCCCGCAGGCGCCAATGCGCCCATGGTTCCTGGAAGCGATCCTCGCATTCGCGGCACGATATATCATTGCATAGTGATAGTCAGAGAGCATTGAAATTCTTCATCATGACATTAGAAGTCAACATTACAGAAAAGGTCGGCAGAGCAGTTGATACGATCGACTGTCTCTGCTGATGTTCGTGTATTTGAGCTCAAAACTAGTACACCTATAACTCGACTAGTAGCTTCTGTTCTAGCCCAGACCGCTTATATATGAGATAATTTGCAGCTCAGTGTGCATATATGTGAGATTGGTTGCAATCAAAAGTATAGGAGGCCACTTCTCCTTTTGGTTTTTCTCTGCTTCACGTTGTCGAGACGTTGAACTGATGAGGTCGCAGGGATGAAATTTCAGACGTAGAGAAAGGTCTGGCATTGAGAAGTAGAGAGGGACCGGCATGCTTTGGTGCTTATCGTGTTAGGTTACCTGTTTATAAAAACTCGCGAGATGAAGAGTCATTATGTCGTGTATGCTTCCAGTTGAGCAGCCTTCGCATAACCCAACTGGTTGTATACATATATGACAGACTGACAGAATAAAGCTTTTAAGGAATGTTCTTGCTCCTTGCTCTCCACTCCGCCCACACAGAACTTGATTCTCTCATCCTCCATTCTCTCTCCAACATTTCCGAATTGCCGAACGTTTTTGATCAAAGGCACCTCCTAATCGATGAGGCACCTCGTTTGTTTCATTCGATGACCCAGTTTTCGCTTTCGCTCAATTTTCTCAGTGTCTAGGCTGTTCTGAGGCAAAAGGAAGTTATACTCTTGAAATAAGCCATTCCGACGTATTCCCCACCTTCGTTGATGGAAGCTTGTTGAGTTCATATGTGCTCTTTCATCAATCCCTGAGCCCCAACTATCCCAAACATGCTCATAACTATGCTTTCTTCAGTACTATCGAATTTTTAATCAAAGATGACAAATATGCCGACTTGAGCACTTCATTTTCAGCGATGAAAGAAATTCGGTTTTGACAAGTGGTCATAGTTCATATCCATGAAGAGAAATTGCATGGCATCGCTCAGTGCATATTGCCATATACATATAGAATAATCATAAGAATGCGACAATTATTTTTGAAATAAAAGAAAAAAACTGTGGATATGAGTTCCATAAGACTTTGTTTCATAAAACCTGCCACCAGAACGATAAATAAGCTCTTATCAACTTACGCTTCGATGTTATCGCCTTCTTCAGAGTTTGAAAACCTGAAGATTATTAGCGATAATCTTCAGGTTTCCGGACTCTGAAGTAGGCGATAACGTCGAAGCGTAAGTTGATAAGAACTTATTTATCATCTTGGTAGCCGGTCTTATAAAAAATGTCGTAAAAATTAACCCGAAGCCATGCCAAGATTCATTGGGAGTTGAACATGGATAGTTATGAAATATGGAACAAAACGAATATGAAAAAAGCAGCCCAATAGGGACGAGTCGCATGTCAAAGTGATTGTTTGAAATTGTCATGTATCGCCGAACGCGTGATCGAACTCGAATCACGGATGTCCCTTTGAGGCTTGCAGAACGATTATTGGAACGACAATATTCTCGAGTGAAGATTTGAACTTGACGTAATTTTAATTCTAGCAGAAATACTGGTATTGTGAATGTGATAGTTTCATTCAATTTCTTTTTCCACCATTTTTTTTGCGGTTTATGATAAAAGCGTCACACTCGACACCTCCTTTCGAAAATACTGCTGTTTCTGGGCTTTAGTGATTTTTCAGCGTTTTATACATTTTTCTGACAACTGGATAGAAAGAGTTGCGTGAAATTCAACAGTCGGCGGAAAGTATTGAAAGAATTCCATCTGATTTTTGGGTGTTTTCATGGAACTTGTCTCCGAACTCCACTTTCGTGTTGATTTTTTTCTGGCACGGAGCACTTTCAATGCTTCAACGACATTTTCTCTCCAAAAACGTGTGTAAGAGCTATTTCGAAGCATTGAACTTCTATCGCGCATTCCTGCAACCATTGTTTTCTCGTTGGATTCCGTTCACCCACATGTGGTAGAGTCGAGCCCACTCGCCCCGGCACAGAGTCTTGTTGGAAGACCCAGGGAGCAGCGATCGTATGACCACCACTGTGCTCACCCAGTAGAGCCTACCCGATAAAAGGATAGAGGTTGAAATCTTGGGGCGTTAGTCATTCCCGTTTGAGGGACGCGCTCACGGATTCCAGTCCCATTTAGAATCGTACTGGCGTATTGAATGCGTATGTGGCCTATAAAATGACTTGCGGTGGCCAGCCGATGTTCATGTCGGTGCTTTCATCCTCCCAGACGAGTCTGGTACCAATGAACCGACCCCGGAGGGATGGAAGGCTCGCTTGGCCTAGGCAGATATCGATCCCGGGATGACGAGGTCGATTGGCCTGCTGCCTGATGCTTGTGCGGTTTCGTTCGTGGCTGGCTGATGCTCACCCAATAAACTCGCCTCATTACACCAAGATCGTCCTTATTACATACTTAATCTTCTAAGGCGACAGTCTAAAATCCACGATACACCAAACTAGTGGCGGAACGTGAACTCTTGGCTAGAAGTTCAAGTTCCGCCACTAGTTTGATGTATCGGCCAACCAATAGTGTCCCGTCTCCATCGAAACAAGAACTGACTACACTGAGCAAATGCTCGAAGTGCTTCGGGAAACAGCAGTATATACCGATTCTTCGTCTGACCCGTTTGAGGCCAAGGAATAGGGAGGCTTCAGTCTCTACTAAAACGACGAGAATGTAATAAACGTTACACAAAAAAACTTTACGCAGTAATAACGCTCTTGTAATGCTGGTAGCAAAATACCGCGTATACACTGATAAGCTTCAGGGGACGGCAGTGCCATGCGTAATGAAAACTGTACCACAGTTGTGCTCGTAACAGGTGGCATAAAAATCGTTGGATCCAGCCAACAGAACCAACAAAACTCGTAGAGTAAGTTGGGAGAGACATGCTCGGAGGCAACAAGAAAATGGAATAGAAAAGGTCGCATTAGTGAAATCGAGTTAATTGATTAATAGTGCCACTTAAGCAGAAAAGTAGCTGTTTGTGAGATGAACGAAATGAAAGCGATATTCCAGGAGCAAGACTAAATGTTTACCGAGGCGAAGTGCTCAAATCAGCATTAAAACTCGGAATAGCTCTTCACAAAAGTATGATCATGCATGCAGTCGCTAAGCAAAAGTGCAATACCAGCCAGGACGCAGTACTTGGTCAAGCGCCGGACAGCTTTCGTGATGGAGAGGACATGGCCTCCCTTCAGTAAAGCTCAAACGTCAATCTACCTCGTTCATACGGCGCTTATGAGAAATCTTCAAGTACTGGACAATTTTGAAACCCCTGTTGGCGAAAACAAGGGGCTGAGTAAGAGAAAGTTTTCCTACTGAAAGATTCCGTAGGGGGAGAGCTAAGACAGCAATAAAGATATCCAACTCATCCTCCAATTAATCAGTGGGCGACCGAAGAGCTAAAAAATGGATTTAGTTCAAAACACAAGAAGGACCAGAATTGGTCATGTTTGATAGATATGCGAGCAGCGAATAACTGGGCGAAGAGCTGTGCAGCACTTTATGATAAAATCGGGATGCTGCTCAAACGAATGGTTTCGGCAGGCTAAGATATGCGCGCCATGCGAATAATGGATTGAGAACATATCGGGAAAATTTCCATAAAACACTGTAAAAAGCTTCGTTGTATTGATGCAGAATTGGTATAACAGGAACTGAAGGAGGAGATCACTGCGAAGCAATTCGTTGAATACAGAACGAAAAACAGACCCAAGTTTTAAAAGCATAAAAAGAAGTAG